GACCAGAGAGATAGACCAGAGTGAGACCAGAGAGAGACCAGAGAGAGAGAGCAGAGTGAGACCAGAGAGATAGACCAGAGTGAGACCAGAGAGAGACCACAGAGAGACCAGAGAGAGAGACCACAGAGAAACCAGAGAGAGACCAGAGTGAGACCAGAGAGAGATAGCAGAGAGAGACCTCCTCCGAGTCCCTGCAGGAGGCCAGTCCCTGTGCTCCTCAGAGAGTTAGTTCATACTAACATATGTCACATGTGTACTTTGAGGCCGAGGAGGTATTGGAGGTACTTTGTTGCTTCAAAGTCTATTCTCTGAGCCACAGGTGCAGAGACCTGAGACCAGGACTAATGTGATGGTACTTCCTGGGACTGGTCTGGACTAATGTGATGGTACTTCCTGGTTCTAGTCAGGACTCGAGCCTCAGTGTTTCAGATAAACTACAGCTGTTTTATAAGTTGAAGGAGAGAGACATTAGTGTTTTTACGGCCTCAGTCCTGCAGACGGGTCTCAGTTTCTCTGGAGATTCTCAGATCCTTGGACCAAGACGTTCTGTTATTGCTGTTAAACTGTTTTCCTTCAGACGTCCCGCTCTGAAATCTGAGCTCCCTTGACATGAGAGATGGACTTATCTCTGCAGAGGCGGCCTCAGTAATCCAGCCCATGTGCAAGACATTTCCAAGTCATAATATTTGGACACCACACATAAAGTTAAAGATAGTTCTGAGCCGGAGTGATCCCGAGAGCTCAGCCTGTCCCAGCCTGTCCCAGCGTCCTGCTCTGTGCTCTGCAGAGACTGTTGCAGAGGTGCTTTATCTGCCCTTGTCTGAGGTGAAGGAGAAGGTTAGAGCTGCTCAGTGCTGCCCCCTGCCTGTCACACACTGGACTCACAGCTGTGGGTTTGGTTGGTTCAATTGCCTTCGTTTCTATCAAGAAAATAACCAGAGAGAGAGAGTAAAGAGAGAGACCAGACAGAGACCAGGGAGAGACTAGAGAGACCAGACAGAGACCAGGGAGAGACTAGAGAGACCAGGGAGAGATCAGAGAGAGACCAGGGAGAAACTAGAGGGACCAGAGAGAGGCTAGAGAGAGACCAGAGAGAGACTAGAGAGAGACCATAAAGAGAGACCAGAGAGAGACCAGAGAGAGACCATAGAGAGAGACCTGACAGAGACCAGAAAGAGACCAGAGAGAGACCAGAGAGAGACTAGGGAGCGACCAGAGAGAGACTAGGGAGCAACCAGAGAGAGACCAGAGAGAGACTAGGGAGCGACCAGAGAGAGACTAGGGAGCGACCAGAGAGAGACCGGAGAGAGACCAGAGAGAGACCAGAGAGAGAGACCAGAGAGAGACCAGAGAGAGACCAGAGAGAGACCAGAGAGAGACCAGAGAGAGACCAGAGAGAGAGACCAGAGAGAGACCAGAGAGAGACCAGAGAGAGAGACCAGAGAGAGACCAGAGAGAGAAGCCAGGGATGTAGTTATTGTAATATTGTACATTCACAAGCTACAGTCAAACTCACTGATCTAATTCTCGCTGTTCTATTTTTGGAGCCGTGTGGAATGTCGGCCCCTGGTTTTGGCCCCTGGTCTTGGCCCCTGGTCTTGGCCCCTCTCTCTAACTTTACACTCAGAGGTAGCATTTCTTCTCTTCCACCGAGGGAACAGTCCTAGTAGCACGCTAACCCGACTCATAAATGTGATCCAGCTGATGGGAGCAGAGCCAAGGGAGGAGAGGGGTTGAGAGGAGGGGAGGGGAGGAGAGGAGAGGAGGGGGGAGGAGGAGGGGAGAGGAGGGGGGAGGAGGAGAGGGAGGGGAGAGGAGGAGAGGGAGAGGAGGGGAGGGAGAGGAGAGGAGGGGAGAGAGGAGGGGAGAGGAGAGGAGGGGATAGGAGGGGAGAGGAGGGGAGAGGAGAGGAGAGGAGAGAGGAGGGGAGAGGAGAGGAGAGGAGAGGAGGAGAGGAGGGGAGAGGAGAGGAGAGGAGAGGAGAGAGGAGGGGAGGGGAGAGGAGAGGAGAGGAGAGGAGAGAGGAGGGGTGAGGAGAGGAGAGTAGGGGAGAGGAGAGGAGAGGAGGGGAGGGGAGAGGAGAGGAGGGGAGAGGAGAGAAAGGGGAGAGGAGTGGAGGGGAGAGGAAGTGGAGGGGAGGGAGAGGAGAGGAGAGGAAGTGGAGGGGAGGGAGAGGAGAGGAGAGGAAGAGGAGGGGAGGGAGGGGAGAGGAAGAGGAGGGGAGAAGAGGGGAGAAAGGAGATATTTAGATTTTCTGGGTTTGAGTTGTCGCTGAAACAGTCGAGGTCAGAAGTTTATTCACCACAAACAAAAATACTTTGTCCAAGTTTCCACAGACTCTGATAATCAGGACCAGAGAGAGACCAGAGAGAGACTGGAGAGAGACCAGAGAGAGACCAGAGAGAGACCAGAGAGAGACCAGAGAGAGACCAGAGAGAGACTGGAGAGAGACCAGAGAGAGACCAGAGAGAGACCAGAGAGAGACCAGAGAGAGACCAGA